TTTGCTGTATCAAATACGTACCAAACCGTGACACCACTGTATGGTATTGAACCGAACTGTGACTTTTTTGTCAAACCTCTACTTAAATCTTTCTGTAGACATTTGATACCGACAACGCTATAACAGAATCTTGATTCATATTTGATCAGCGTTGCCTAGTTTAACAGCTTGACCACAGTTCACAAGTAGTGACTGACATGATTGACAGCTGCTGTAGAGACTCCTCGGCTCTGATTGGTTGTTTTTGTTCACGTGCAGTTAGGCTAACATAAGTGCTTCAGGGCAACAGAGTAGGTAAAGGTGGAATATGATTTTTTCGTCTCATTTAGTACTGTGATTATGGTGACAGTTTCAGCAAATATGGAAGATGTTATTGTTTTAAGTCACTGACTACAGCTTTAAATGTCTAAATTTAAAAGGTACAGAATATAAAATCAGCCTAATAGCAAAATAAGTAAAACATTACTGTGGTCCGGGTGAGTAGCCAACAGGGTTTTAGTCAAAACTGCCTTCTTTAGACATTGCATAAGAGATAAGAGCATCATTGCCTCACATCTACTTACTAAAAGAGCTGAGCTCGGCAGAGAAGACATCAAAATGTCTGAATCAGGATAAAACTTTAGACTTTCCTCAGTTCGTTAACAGCTTCTCCTGTCCAAATGCATTACTTCCATATACTGCACATGTATATACAGGATGTGTGCTCTAAACCAGGAGTTAGAGAAAAAATTAGATCACAGGACATGATCTAAAACTACCTTTTATACTTAAAAAGTTAAATTGAAAAAGTTCTTTCCATGAATTATCATTCATTACTGTGACTCATCTACTGTGACACTGAAAATAAAACATCATTTCATCTATTGTTTTAGTTTGTCTTTGAACTCATGAGTCTGAAAATGAAGTGAATTGGCTAAATGGATTGGACTCGACAGCCAAAGGCTTTAGAAGACTTTTGTTATTATGTTTTTTGTGATGCTGCTGAATATAATGCTGTTTTGATACTCTTGAATATAAACCAATTTAGAGAAGAAGAAGAAGAAGAAGAAGAAGAGAGAGAGATGGAGTTTTAGTGTAATATTTCTACGTCTATGAGCTGAATTTAATGGCCAATTGAAGACGTGTTCCTCCGTCAGCTAACATTTATGCTGGCGCTGTGAAGCTTCAAGAAAATGTGTGGGAAAACAGACATTTGTTGATTGTGCTGAAGGAGATTATGCTACATTCAGTTGGGACTTTGGGCCCTGGGCACTGATGGAGAATGTTTTCAGTGCTCATATTTTACCAAGCTATGCAGTTATGTATCTTTATATTGTGGCTGGTTTGAACATTTTTTTCCCCTAAGGCATTTTGGTAGGTGATGTTCGCCAAGGTTTCAGCTGTTGAGATGCAGCATGTTGCATTTTTAAACTAGAATTACTGCCCCGCAGTTGTATGCCTCCACGAACCAGTCAAGTTTCTCATACAGTTTAAATCCATGTCTGTGAAAACATGGATGGCTCGCACACATCTTTACCCTGGCAGCACAGAAGATCTATACAACCAGCACAGTTTCAAGATGGACACCCATGATTCATGCCACCCATTCAGTATCTGATCAAATGTTTTTCCTTCTGTTCCTGAGTATGACGTTGAGTAATGGCCGCAAAGTGTTTTTGCAGAACATTTTGCTATCACTGTTAAGTCGACCTACTATAACCTTTTGGATATACAATATCATCTTGCAGCCAAAAACATGTTTGGGAGGTCACACTGACTTTAACCTTTGATCTCAACCACCAAATTCTAATCAGTTCAGCATTGAGTCCAAAGAGCATTTGTGCCAAATTTGAAGAAATTCCCACAAGGTGTTCATGAGATACACAAGAATGAGATGGATGCAAGGTTACAGTAACCTTGACCTTTGACCACCTAAAATCTAATTAGTTCATTGCTGAGTCCAAGTGTTGTATGAGTCCAAGTAACGTTTGTGCCAAATGTGAAAAAATTCTTTCGAGACGTTTTTTTGAGATATTCTCGTTCACTAGAGTGGGACGTATGTAAAGATGTACAGACGGACAGACAACCTGAAAACATAATGCCTCCAGCCATGGTTACTGTGGAAAAGAGGCATAAAAACAATACATGCTGCACAATATGGTGAGAGGACTCACGCTGCTTTTTATGATGTGATAATGTAGATGTGCATTGTATACAAACTGTTCATAATGCCTCATTTTATTCAGACTTAAATGAGACGTCACTGCATTTAGATTTGGCACCCTGTATTCTCCCTAAAGAATTATTGTATGAGAGATTCTGTCCAATATCTTCTAAAAGGTCACCAGCTCCTTTATATAAACAAACCGGATATATCGTTTGATGTTCGCTGTATTGTTAAAACAATAGAAAGCCAGACTTTCCTTTACTCATCTTCTGAATTCCTGCCCACAAACAATATTCTCTGCAGGCGAGCGTAGCTTTTCTGGTGTGACAAAGGGAATTACTATGGCGGTGCCAGATAGTGAAGCTCCATTTTTCAGATAGCTGTCTGTTTGTATTTCCTCTCTGTGCTGAGGTGCCAAATGAGAGCATTATGAAGTTGCTTTTGTGTGCTTTTGCGTCTGTGGTGACCCAGTTGAATGAACAACAGGCAGAGGTCCAGAAAACTGGCTCCAAACTCCTCTGCAGGCTCCCGAAAATCACTCTCAGATGGTGATTGTATATGAGCCCCCTGTAGCATGAAAGGCATGCATGAGATCTTTTTATTTGCTCTACTTATGAAATTCCTGGTTGCTGTCAAATTGATAAAGAGATGGGGCTATATTTATGAAAAAGTCTCAGGAACTCTGAAGATTACATTTTCAAGGCAGGCAACAGACAAGAGTCCCTTTACCAATTTAATTTAACAGCATTTGCTATTCAAATGTCACACTGTCCGACATATTTTATTTCAAAATCTACTTTTCAATATCATATCAAGTGATAACGTATTTCAGTCCTTTGAGCATACTGTTAAAACTGGGAAATACTCAGTAATAGGTCATCCCTTTGAATGTCATCCAACATTACAAATCAGATCCTTTGATGCAGACTGATTCAAATACTGAACACAATAACAGAGACCAAAATATGACCTGTACTATGACAACAGCTTTGAACACAGAGACAGCAGCAATATCTTTGATCTAGATGATTAAACATATTAGCAGATGTTTAATATATTCTAGTCTATAATAACAACTTACTTTGTTTGTTTATTGTTGCCTGAAAATTACAGTGGCTATCTGCTGGAGGTTGCTGAATAAAGGGAAGACACCTTTGTGTTTGGGAGAGAGATTATAATATAGTATAGTATAGTATAGTATAGTATAGTATAGAGTATTAACTCTTACATAATAATTCTAGGGCACAACAGAAAGACAGCTGTACTGTATCTCTTTAGCTGTAATGATAAAACTGTGTATAAAATAATGAGACAATTCTAAAAACAGTAATGTAGTTTAGGGGTCAAATATAAGATCCATGTGAAGATCAAACCTGGTATAAGACATTTATCCGGAAATTGAATTTATTCGAGTTTATTGGACAACATACATAAGAAAGAATATAAGAAACATTTCTTTGTACTGTTTGTTATTCTCGGTTTAAGCCTGTAGGGGATCATGCATTCTGTTGTGTGTGTGTGTTTGAGTCTATGTGTGCATATGTGAGTGTGTGTCTGGAAACTACTAGACTTATCAGTCTAATATTTTGAGTGCACATTTATGACATTATGCTCAAGGACCTCTCGTGGTTGCGGTGATTCATAATTATTCAAAAACCTGTTTTATTGACTGTTTTATACCATCATTAAATGCTGACTTCACACTCCTTTTAACTGGCTGGCTGGCTGAAAATTGGCTCAGCTAAAAACAACAAACCTTATTGTCTGTTGCAGGCCTCATTTTGGCCTTTGTCCTGGCTCAAAAACTGGCATCCATGAAAAGGTTTCATCTCATTTTGAAGTGGAGCATCTGCAGATTAGTTCCATACCTGATTTGTTATGATACACTAAAGTCAGGCATGATAGGAGATTAATTAGTCCCCGTGTTTGTTATCTTCCCAATCATCTTGACTGTAAGGGAGCAGAGAGGGACAATTCCAATTTATTATACATCTATAAGCTTTTAGCGGTCGGCTGCCAACCAGTTTCGTTTGGTCCGGGCATGGTGTCTAACATACCGGGAGCATTTCGGAAGTGGAGCTTTTGTAGTAGGCAAGCAGTCTATGTAGTTAGCATCTTTTCTTTGTCTGTTTTAGTTGTAGTTAGTGTTATTTCCTACTTTGTTGTGCAGCAGCCTACAGACAAAGTTAATACCATTAAAAGTCCGGTTACGAGCGTCATGGATCAAAGATTTGTGCCTGTGTTTCAGTTATTAAAAAACATCCATCCTCATAATTATATTCTACATATATTTCACATAGAGTGCCACGAGCAGGAAAACTCGATCTGCTCTGCAACACGCTGTGGCTTTGTTAAAAATAGACAAGGCATGTATTCTCTAAAGCTTCTGGGATACTTCTGAAACGTGCTGCTGCGCGTCTGCTGAAGTAACAAGAATCGTCTGTAGTGGCCACGATCAGCTCGGGCGACTGCCTTGCAGTGATCTACACGCTACTGAGTGTACTTCTCTTGCTTTATATATACATTTTTCTATGAAATAGCACATGTAGGTTGGTTCCTTTTCATGACATTATTATAGCTGTTGCTAAATGGCACGAGCCCGCTGGGCTCCTATCTGTACCCTGTAATTATTTAATATGTACTGAGTAATTATAAAAGTCATTTATTTCAGGGTTCCTCCTCAATGCACATTTGTTATTCCTTATTCCTTGTGCTTTAATATTTCATTAGCACTCCACATGTACAAAATATTTCCCCTGTATTGTAATCATAAGTGTTACCCATTTAATTTTTGCTTCTTTTTATAGTCTTACCTATTTTGCTACTACTGAAATTGGAAAGAAAAAAGACTTACCCAGTTGATTGTTGTGGATGACATGCATATCATCTTGACTCTGAAAGAACAGAAAGACTTCTTAATTACTACAGCAACAAAAAGATCTCAAAAACACATCTTCAAATAATGACCTATATACATCCACTTTTGTGTTTTAACAAAAGATGCCGATACTGTCAGATACTGTCATACTGTGGCTTGTGTGAAGATGCTCCGTTTCCACTAAATACTCCATTTCATCTTACTAATCACTAATTAAGACTTAGTGATACTAAATATGGAAAGCCCTATGGGTTATTTGGAGAAATAATGGGTGATACCCCACGTCATTAGTCCTTCCTAATTGTGTGGGTTTGTGCCTGCAGCGTTTAAGCTCCGCTCATTCAGCTCAATTAAGGTGTTCAACACTGTTCCACCTCCAGAGCTGTCAGCACATGAGGCAGACTGTGGAGAGATGAGTAAATCAATCACAAACTGAGCAAACTTTGAGCTGTCTTTTACCTCCATCTTTCAGAGGAAATCTTTCAGTCTTGGGAGAAGGCGAGAACGTGCAAGTTCTGGCTGTTTCCAGAACTCTGGAGCGAGAGTGGCAGAGTATTAATAGATAATGACAAACCGAGGCCTGTTTTGATTTATGACTTCCTCTAGACTAACAATCATTTTACTGGCAAGCTGTTGCAGCCTTCAGAGAGCTTAACTAAGTCATAAATTCACTCTCAGTGGGTGTGGTGCAATGGTTACAGGGAATCACAGTAGTTTGATGGCAGTTGTGGGAACAAGCCTATATGTAATCGGCTATCCCAGCACATTTGGAAGCCTAGCAATTTTCATAGTAGAGAACAACCTATTCATTTAGTCAGTTTCCACCCCATGAAGAGTTTCCTGCAACTGTCATGACAACACATCATTTATTTTTGGGAGGGCTCATATGTCCGGCATTTTTTTATCTATCCAACTGAATTCATCAAATCTTGAACTGATTTTTAACAAGCATCATGTGAGCACAAATATACAAATAATAGTACAAAGTTCAACATATGCACAGCTATACATCATGCATATGTGAGGCTCTCTGTCTTCTCTAATTTTTTTCAGGTGATCAGAGTTAAAGGCAAATATATGCACAGGCAGACAAGATCATATCAGGGTGATTTAATTCAGTGGGTACAAGACATCAACTTAATTGGACTCAGTAGCATTAGTCATGCCCGCAAGGTTTCTGTCTCATCTTATCACACACTACTCCTCTGAAATCATTTCCTCAGCTGAAGAGAGAGGGCACCTCAAGGAAAAAAACGCACCTCATAAGCCAGGAGAATCTGACTTGTTATCAGATAATTAGTCTTGTAAGATCTTTTCTACCTTTATCAATGTAGAAAAACACATCAAAGCAACAGGCAAATAGTCAAAAAACACATTTGGATGGATGCATATGGTAGCTGTGACAGAGGAGCAGCAGGTGGAAATTTTTCCAGTCCGTCTCTTCCAGCAAAACTCAACTATTGGGCAAAGCAGGAACAGAAATCACTGCACTGTCGCTGTCAAACAAAATAAATCAGGACCTCCAGTGTGATGAATGAACTGGTCAATGAAACGTTACCAATTATATTGACTGTGTGTGCACCACTGTGTGTGTGTCTGTAATGTGTGAGTCCGCTACACGATTTACATGACCCTTCTGTTGATAAGACGTAATGTTTTATGACAGGTTTAAATGAAGCTTTAATGAGAAATCTTTGGATCTAACCAAACTGTAGATACCCTGACGCTGTTTTATGTCAATTTATAATGTTCTGTGTATTTCAGGAGCTCTTTTGTAATGAGCTGTTTTAATATAGGCTGTGTTCAGTCCAAAGAATGGCAGCCTCCTCATTCCTTTCAATTAGACCACTATTTTGGCACAGCAAATCTCTCAACGCAGGGTCATCTGGCAAAAAAGTAAAACCTGGCTCAGCCTTTCCACAACACATCATCATCAAGCAAGGCATTGCTTTGGCCAATGAGTTACATCCAAGTGCACATTCTTTGCTATGTAAATTACTGTTTTACAGTTATTATTATTTCTGACCTGGTGATCACTTAGAAAGGGTAAAAGAATTGTTGTAGTGATGGCAAAAACCTGTCCTACAGTATTATAAACAACTGTGTAGTGATGTGTCGTCGGTTTAGCCTTCAAGCTCACTGATGCATCACTCAACCTGCACTTCTTGAATAAGACTTCTTCCTTTCATCTGGACCTATTTTTGAAGCTGAACATCTGCTTAAGATACCTGGATCAGAGTGTGGATACCCAACCCACACCAGGCTGAGTTCGGACACATATTTACAAATGATGTTAGATTTGGGTTTGGCCCACTGGACGTAGTGCTTTGTGCTTCGCTTCGCATCTGTCCTTGCTATCCATGCTAATCTTTCGGTTTGTTGTTAAACTGACACATGAAAATGGACGTGGCAGTGTAAAGAGGGTCGCCTGCAAGTTTAAGCGGCATCAGAGTGCAGTGTTTTCTTTATGGTAGTAGCGTTGGGCTTGGGGAAGGTTCAGACAACTGTTCAAAAACAGAATGGGATAGGGTTGGACTCAGTTACTACACTCTCAGACTAGGATCTTGTCCTGACAGAAATATGCAGCCTGAGTTTCATTCTGTCCTGGTATTTGTATTTATTTTTATGATTTCCTGTGTCTTACAGGATGACATTGCATTTATGACAGGTTACGAAAGGTTGCAAGTCTCCAATATACTTTAGATTGAGATATCCTGAAATTATATCAGATCATTTTGCTTTTTGGTTTGGTTTGGATCATTGACAACATTCTCATATATTTATAAAGTACAACATGTAAAATGAAAAAAAAAAAAAAGTGCGTTTTTACAATGCTGTGGTTAACATGGTTAGGTTTAGGCACAAAAACCACTTGGTTATGGTTGGGAAAAGATCAGGGTTAGGCTTACAATACCCAGTTTTGAGGGCACATCCCAGCAGGAAAAGCAATGATGTCATGGTAAATAAAAGACAGCCGCTTGTGGTACTATCCCCCTATGCAATGGGTCACTACTAAACACTCACATCTGGTGCCTTAAAAAACAAAAAAGACAAAAAAAAAAAAACCACTGACAGGTCACTACAAAACATCCAGGTTTGGAGCCTAACCCCCAAATTCCACCAGATATGTGTTAGTTGCGTCTGCGCTCCGGAACGGCAGCGGAGCCGATACATTTCAATTCTAGTCAATGTGTGTGCTTCCACCGGCTGCGTTCCGGCTCTGTCACAGCTGCAGCGCTCTGGAGCCCTCCGCAACAGATACGTAGGACTTCTATTTCTGCCGGACGCCGGAGCACAATGCAGCAATTCAGCACAGAGCAGATTGTGCGGGGCAGGAAGTCGTAATTTTCAAAATAAAATACACAGTTTTCACGGTGGATCATATTTCCCTGCACTACACCTTTAAAACGTCATAATGGGCAGAGGCAAGCCTGAAGTCAACAGGTCAGAGCAGGGGCGGAAATCCCGGGGGGGACAGGGGGGACATGACTCCCCCTTCAATAAAGCTGTACCCCCCTAGAATAATTTGAGACACAATTAATAATTTTTGAACAATGCAGTAGTATTTATTAAAAGCACAATGTAAGCTGTGCTCATTATAAAAGCGCAATAATGTGCTATTTAAATCTTAAAAGATTTAGTCCCCCCCTCCCATTCCTAGTAGTGGTATATCCCACACTCTTTCCAACGGGCGGGGCTAGCAGCCGTTAGTACTTGGCAGCAGTTGCAGCGTGTGGCTGGACCCGGCTGCCCACATCGCGCATCGCGGGGTAAGATGTTCACTCACACAGATACAGTTTAACTTACACGTTACAACACATCCCATTTACTGTTACAACAAGCCCCAGGCCCAGGCTGATAATATAAACTGTCTGCAACATTTCTCCTGCATTGTTCAAAAGCCAGAGTTTAGTGATAGAGAGGACAGGAGAGAAAGAAGAGGGAGAGGACAGGACAAGAGCAGTCAGTGACGGAGCGGCTCGTAGTTAATATCTGTAGGCTCTCCACCTGTCAGTGAGACACACATGACAGACGTGCAGTTTAACTGACGAGGAGCGGCCATTACGCGCGATAATTACGCACGGTTTTGAGGTGCGCAGCGGCAGATCTCACAGCACACTGTTTATAAACCAGTTCACCAGTTTAATTGCAGGAAATGTTTATCTCACTGCCGGTAAAAAAACGAAAAAAACAAACAAAACGGTTTGCTCCTAAAGCCAGTCAGAGACGACAGATCCATTCCACACACCTGAGCCAGATGAAAAAGAGGGAGAGAAGGAGAGAGATCGAGTTTTGGTCTTTGATGAATGAAGCCTTATTGTTTTGCTGCTATTAAACAATGAGAGACATGTCTTCTGCGTTTACTTAATAGCATAAATAGTCACACTACTGCGCACGGGGAGACAGAGACCTGCTCTGCTCCAGACACACTCAGCACCTTGGACAGCACGGTGCACCTGACTGTTGTCGTTGTGTACATGTTAATTTGATTTCAATCATTTTGTTTTAAATCTGGACATGTGCAGGTGGACTCAGCCAGTGCTAAGAAAGGTCCTATGCCTGCCTGTTGGAGAGACTGAGAGAAGATTAAAGCGTCAAATTGCAGTAAAAGATGCTGTATAAAAGACAGGCTACAACTTTTTTCCTTGTCCCCCCCTGGAATTATTCTCTAAAATTTTACTGTTTATTGTCCCCCCCAACTATGAAATGGGATTTTCGCCAATGGGTCAGAGGTTTTCAGACGTCATTTCACCCTGTTGACACCATGGACAAGGAGCTGTTAATCATGGAGGTGCACCGAGATGTCTTCCTACTACTCCTCTGGTTTTGTGGTTCTGTCTATAGAAACTACATCTTGTTATATCGCGCGATTATGCGTGAATTCATGAGATCTCGTGGGTCCTTGTGGCTTCCGCTGTCCGGCGGAGCTGCACCGTTCCACGCAGCAAACACAGCCGGTGGGTGTTGACGGACAGTGGAGCACGCAGTGGATTACCAGCGCAGCCGTTCCACAAT